CATCAGAGGAAATCTCAGGTGTGCTGGTGACCCTTGTCAGAATGAAGCATTTCAAAGCCTCCTGATAGTTAAAGAGTGACAGCAATTACTGCTTTTGGTGGGAATTCTGGGAAGCGTGGTGAACAGTTATATTGCACAATCACTGTGTGTCCTAATACAGTTATGGCTGTCAGGCTTTAAATAAACAAGCAAAAATTGCTTCAATTGGATCTACTACACTTCTGCAGAGAGAGCAATTCATAACTTTATTGCCTAGATGAAGCAGGATTTCTGTGGGTATGTGAATTCCCGTATTAGATGTTGATTTTTATTGATTTTTAAAAATTGTAGCAGTAGATAGACTGCCTTCTCTCATGCTGCATATTGTACAAAGCCATAGCAGGAGGCAATGTAAGGCTGAAAGTTAGGCACTGAGATGTGTTCCTAATGTGAAAGCTGTGTGCCTTTTCCTCCTTTTCCTCGTGGCTTTGTTCTCCTTAGAAGAGAGCTGGATGCACAGAGAGGCAGGGAGCACCCAGATGGCTCAGCAGGCCCTGAGGTCCAGGCAGCCAGGAAACCAAATGCAAGGAAAGGTCACAGCATGAGGCTGCCAGCAGCCTGTCGTGGCTGTAGTCCCCAGTGAAATGGCAGGGAGCAAAGTACCTGAAATGCCTGCATGGAATCACTGCTGCCATTACAGTTAGACCAGATTCAAGCTGGAAAGAAAAATCAGGTGTGAAAAACCAGCAGGGTTTTTCCTGAGGTCACACAGCAGGCTTGTCTGTGCAGAGAACAGCCTCCGAGCCTCAGATGATTGAGTTTGTCACCTGCCCCCCTCAGCCCCACTTTATACTTAACTGTCTCTTTAAAACTCTCCTTTCTTATAGAAGGCTGATTATTTAAATTAGAAGCTTAGTCTTGGCAAGCCTTGAAAGAAGTTGAGAATTTACAGTGTTATCATGTCTCATCGCAGTAGAGCAGGAAGTACAGGAGCTTCTAGGTTAGGTGCCAGAAACTCAGCAATGCTGTTGCAATGAAATGAGCAGCAGGGCAGGAAGAAATGAAGAAAAAATGATGCAATGGGACTCAGACATTCTCCCAGTGCACGAAATGGTACTGCCAAATTTTATTTATTTTTTCTCTTTAAGTAAATGTGTTTCAGACTTCTAAAATAATGCAGTTTATTATTACATTACTCTTTAATTTCCAGATTTAATAACTACCAGAAACAAGGCTCTTTATACCCCTAAATATCTTCTACTGCTCTTACCACCCATTAACAAAGGCATTTTCCAATAGTCTTGGCTACGTGCAGGCTTTGGGTAGTCCTGGAAGCCATCTGCCAGCACATTCAGGGGCAAATAATGCCTGTGGCAGCATTAGACTGAGGCAAGCATCAGCTTACCTGAGCTTTTCGAAGATTAAACAAGTTGCAAACTGCAGCTACCTGTCCTGGGCATGTAGCTGGGAACTGAAGTGTTAAAAATGCCTGAGTGTGCTGTATTCAATAGCCTTAATGCAGGGAGGTGCCTTCTCTAACTTGTGTTGGAAGTCTTTATGTGGGCTTTAGAAGTTGGCCATAAACTATCAGCATCCCAAATATACATCAGTCTTGCCTCAAGGGTCATATTGGAGTATGACTGCCAAAAACCCAGACTGAAATTCCCAAAATATTTAAACTATCTTCCTCCTCTCGCTTGTCTCTGCACCCCGTAGAGGAAAGGAAATACCTGGTGTTTTTTACCTGGTGTAGGGAACCTGCTTTGGCAGGGGGGTTGGACTCAATGATCTCTGGAGGTCCCTTCCAACCCCTACAATTCTGTGATTCTGTGAAATGCTGAGCAATTCCAGCACCTCATGCTGCCATACAGGACAGTGTATCGGAAGGTTTCTCAAGAGCCTGTTTAGGTTGTTTGGAAAATGCTGGACAATATCAGCAAATCAGGTCTGCACAGATAGCTGGAGACTGTGTGTGACTTCACAGAAGTATCTGAATAATGACAGAGTAACCCTATTGCTATATTTAAACTTTTTCCTCTTTTTTCTGTAGTGCAGTTGTTGGCAAGTTTGATGGGGTTTGGGACAGAGGAGCTCTAGTGGCTGTGAATCCATGCGACAGACAACGGTCAGTGAATCTGCTTGGCTGTTGCTTTTCCCTGATGCATCCAGTGACACTTTTGTTTCCTCCTGCCACCCGGGGATGAGTCCTCTCTCACTCAACACAGTGACCTAAACACGTTTCTCTCTATGGCGAGCTGCAGCTACAGAGCTCTGCCCTCTCTGTTTGTGAGCTTCCTTCAGGAAGCCGCCCTGCCTCTTGGTAGGAAAATATGTGGTTTGTTGCAACCCAGCAGAAGCAGAGCTGCACGTCTCATCTGAATTTTATTATTTCCTTTTCACCCCACCTGCTTCTCTTGCCTCTCTTTGTTCGTTTTCTCCTTGCTTCCCTTTATTTTTCTCATTCTTGCCCAGAGCCAACCCGAGTTTAGTTTGAGGCTACCTGGCAGATTTCAAAATATTGGTACTGCATTCTTAAACCATGGCAGATGAACGCTGTGCTTTGTCTGTTAGTTTTGAGATGAACGTGGGAAAAGAGAGAAATGATTGTTTATGGAGAGTGCACAGAAACCTTTACTTGGGATGTTTCATGAGTTGCACGAATTTCATGCTCATGTATTTCTACTTGGTTGCTGTGCAAGTCAGTTCAACTCGTCTCTGCACAGGAACACGTTACCTTATTTGGTGAATAGTTTGAATGTTATGCTTAAATTTCTTGTGCTGTTCCAAAATAATGAAGTATGACTGTCTCCTTTTAGCTATGTCACCTTGATGAGCTCCCTAATGGAGAAAAACTCTTCTTATCTCCTCATTACAGTTTTATATGATCCAACCAAATACAACGGTGAGAATTTCGCACTGCTCATGTTTTGATTTTACACATATAGTAATACTAATTGTGGATAGATGTGGCAGATACCTTAGTATTGCTTTTTTATCAACAGTGCTTTGTTAGCTGATTGTGTCAGTATGGTTCTTTTAGGTGTTGAGGAAGCTTGACCCTTTCCCTCTGGCACTCAGATGTGCCAAGGACAGGTGAAGGAAAAACAAGATATATTAACAACAAAATGAAACTGGAAGAGTGAATGCTTAGAATAACATCATACACCCTGTCTGGCCTAAGGACCTCAGAGCATTTCGAAGAATGTTGATCACCTTAGACCCTTGGTTTATTTGCCCAATATTTGCAGCCCAATGTGCTGCACATCTTGTGCCTTTCCCCTCACTGCTACCATGGTCAGAATATGCCTGGAGAGGTGAAACTGTAAACCATGAAGTATTTTTCCCTTTTATAACTTTTATTATGTGCTAGTATGTCTAAGTTCTTTTAAGTTTTCATTATGTTAGCTACTGCCTCTCAAAAGAAAGAGAGATCTTGCTTTTGAGCTCTTTGGCATAATTATCCTTCAAAGAATAGGTCTTGTTATCATTAGTCACAATAGTTTCATACATTGTTCTCCCTCTCACATTATTCAGCTTTTAGCTTGAACTGTACCATTACAACATACAGGGATTGCTGGCTAAATTCACACGCTGCACTGAATGGATACAGAGACTGTATCCATGGCATGTTTGTGACCTCCCAACTCCTGACAACGTGGCTGCCCTGGCTGCAGCCTGGAGGTAACACAGCAGCAGCACCTGAGGCTACCTGAGGTTCCACCATGGTGTTTTCTGGCTCCCACAGATGGGGCTGCACACAGAGGCTGTGGGTGCTGTAGTACAGATATTTGTCTCCTGCCTGTGTCTCCTCTCTGATTAGCTTCACCATTTTCTTTCCAGGACCACCGTTTTATGTTCCTGAATCTGAAGTTAAAAGCTTGTTTGGTAAGTAGTACTTCAGCTAACCCTTAGAATTTTTATTTTATTTTATTTTTTGCAAAAAAAAAGTGTGTATCTGTGTACTTCTACCTCTGCAGCAAGTGATGGAATCATCTGCTTGCTTCTTAGATAAGAGATTGAGTCACAGAAAAGTAATAAGGGAAATAAATGCCATGCTGTCACAAGGCTTTTGCTGTTAATGCAGCTTCCCAGCTCTTGAAAAGACATGAGGAAAACTCGAGAGGCAGACACTGTCTCTTTCCTTCCCTGGCATCCATTCACCCTCTCAGGATTCAGATTGCACATAGTGGCCCCGTAGCTTCAGTCCTGTTTGACCATTTCACCTTTCTCTGCACCTCATCACCATCTGCCCTGTTTTTTTTTTTTTTTTATATAAGGCCTTTGGATATTGGTTTCTGCTGTACTTTTGTAGTCAAAGAAGAAAAGTAAAATGTCATGCTACAGAAATGCTAAATGTACAACTCCATTCCATTTAAAAGATAATGTTAGAATTGTGACAGGTATTTAGTTTCAAATGTTCTTCCTGATATCCTTTGATAATGTACTGAAGTGTCTGTGTAGAGTGAGTCACTGTCATGGACAGTTGCATCCCCGTGCAAAAGAGACAGGTAAGTTTTCCTCAGTAGATTTGTGTAACATCAGTAGGGACCAGGAGGAGATCTGTGCATAAGATCTTGTTTTCTGATGTCTTACTTTCTTCAGTGACTTTCCATTCTTTGATTAGTTGTTCTTTCTTCCTTTTCAGGCAGCCAGTGTGAAATTAAGTGTCTTCAGAAAGTCAATGACTTCTCAGACAAACACAAGCAGTGGGGACTAGATTATTTTCTGGAAGTAATGTATCTAATAAAGTTTGTAGCTTGATTAAAATCAGTTAACATACCTCCTGTGTATGGGAACTGTTGAGTCACGGCCTGAACCACTGATTGATCACCTGAGGTAAGCACTGGGTCCAGCCTGGGAGCACAGGTGAAGGCAATTCAGCTGTGTGAGCAGAAGGGGTGGAGCCTGGCTGCACCTCTCTTAGACCCCATTTAAGGGCTGACTGCCACTAGGAAGGGTCTCTTTCTGGAGATTTCTCCTTTTGAAGTTTTCTGCTGTGAGCCTGGGATGCAGGTGAGCATTTCATTTTGTCTCTTTCCACCACGGTAATCTTTCTAACTATATACCTGTAAAATACCATCCCAACCACACCACTCTTCTAACTATGCATTTGTTATATGTACACTCCTACCTTTCTTTTATGGTTGTCTCATGTTTTAAATGGTTTGGGGCACTCTTAAAGCAGGCTTCAATGTCTGTGGAACATCTTTGGATGATTTCGCTTTCAGAATCAGCTCTGACTTCACAGCTGACTTCTGCCTTTAGCTGTGCGTAGCTTTCCTTAAGGTCCATGTATAAATAAGTGGTTTTAAAGTGTACCTTTTCCTTCTATTTATCAGCTCATGTAGTCAGAAATTAAAGAAAAAATAACTAAGGGCTCTTTGTGGCTGCCAGCAGCTGCTGTCTGGCCAGCTCTCTGGAGGTCTGTCCAAGGGAAGCTTGTGAGCACAGTCATGGCAGCTCAGGTTCAAATGCTGCTTTTTGTGGTGCCAACGAGAGCAGCTGGGGAAGATAAGTGGGAACATGCACAGCCTGCTGTTCTCCATCCCTGGTAACAATTACACTTGTATGGTTACAGTGTGATGTACTGACAGTAAGACTAGCACAAGAGGAAAAGCCTTGTGCATTTTTGATGTTGTAGTCCAAGAGCTGTGAGTCTCTAGGACTGATCACTGCATGTTCTGATGATTTCATAGAACCATTAATGTTGGAAAAGAGCACAAAGATCATCTAGTCCAACCACCAACCCAACGTTCATGCCCTCTAAACTGCACCCCTCAGTGCCACATCGACCTTTTTCCTGGATATCTCCAGGGATGGTGACTCCACACCTCTCCAGACAGCCTGTTCCACTGCCTCACCACTATTCTGAGAAGAAAGACTTTTTCCTAATGTCCAACCTGAACCTCCTCTGGCACCACTTGAAGTCACTTCCTTTCATCCTATCAATAGTTACCCAGAAGAAGAGGCCTACCTCTGCCTCACTATAACCTCCTTTCTGGTAGTTGTAGAGAGCAATGAAGTATCTGCTGAGCTTCCTCTTCTCCAGTCTAGAGAATCCCAGCTCCCTCTGTTGCTTTCCATAAGATCTGTGCTCCAGACCCCTCACAGCTTCATTGCCCTCCTCTGGACGTGCTCCAGGGCCTCAGTGTCTTTCTTGTAGTGAGGGGCCCAACAGTGAGCACAGTATTGGGAGCACAGGACTCCATTACAATTCTCAGCATTGCTCGTAGCCACTGAGGGCTACTGCTGCTTTAAGAACTGAAAAGAGACATAACCTTCTTGTGGCCAGTGAGACAGTGAGCCGAGATCTACGCATCTGGGACGCTGTCGCTTCTGGGTAGT